TATATATATATATATATATATATATATATATATATATGGAGTATTTTTGAAATCTGCTTGTAGTATGTGAAGGGAGATATGACAAACAGAACTACATGAGGATTAAGTGGCAGAATTTTTATGTAGAAATTATAGAAAATATTTTTTCTATTGGTGAAATAAAGTGGTAAATAAAGCATTTTTTTACTCTAGTAGCAAAACAAATTGATAGAAGTGTTTGGCGAAAAGTTAAGGAATGGAAGAGAGATTAAGGGGTACTGCAAGCAGTGCATTAATTAGCTATTTGCAGAGGATAGTCTTCTGAGAAAAGTCGGATGTTCATTTAGGTCATCTGCTGTGCTGCGGTTTATCGCTACTGGAGCAAAAGGGGTTGTTCAACATACGAACCGTGCTTTTTTAATGACTAAGCTGTTTAGCAGGCTAGTTCTCCTGTTTGATTTCACATGTTTCTTGAGTCGCACTCTGTCGTTTTTCTCTATTATTAAGCAATCTGTAGGGCGACTAGGTTTTGTAGTGTATTAGTCACTTGCTGTCTAGTGTTCTTGGAAATGTAAACTGGCGCACTTCTTAGTTGGGCTTACTAGAACAAGACTGGGAAATGTTTTGGCGGGGGAGAGGAAAGTTTAATGTTGCAAGCGTCTCTGCGCAGTGAATGTTTTTAAAACGCTTGAAAATTTTTTGCTTATCTCAGTTGAACTGCTGTAATACACTAGAAGCACGAGTTCTTTTACAAGTTTTTTAATTAGCATTTCAGAACAACTTTTAATAATGTTTTTTGTGACCTGCTAGAACTTCTCAAACATATTTAGTAACACACAAATAGTTGTTATTTGGCTGTAAGGATAGAATATGCTTTACAGTTAGCGGTTAGAGAGCTAAAAACGATGTCAGCAGGCATCTGAACGTTCACAGGGAGAGGAGAGGTCCGTGTCTTTTAACCATTCAAGAAGTTCACCGTTGTTTGGTGGAATTAGCCGGTAGTTCTTGGTTTTAATTGTCGAACTATGTGTACAGAAAGTGCTATACAGGACGTTTACTACTGTTTTACAGCATTTGTTTCAGTATGACATATTTGAAACACTCACTGTCTCTTAAGTTGTAGTCTGTAAGCTCGCTTTCTTCATAACATCCTCTTGAAGTTGTAGAAGGCATCTAATTTTTTTTGTACGTCCAGTTAATGTTGCTTTAACACGTGTCGATTGACCACACTGAGATCTGTATCTGAAAGACAAAATCAATTGTTTTTTATAGAATATCGTAAGCTCCAACCACGTCGTTGTCCTGCAAAGGCAGGCAACACTTCAGGCTGAAAGGACGGTTTCAAGTCACACTTATTTTATCCGTTTTTTTATCCGGCAGCTGAATTGCAGTAAATAACCCAGTGAGCGTCTTGACAAAGTGAATAAGCTGTTTATAAATGCCTTAAACAAAGGGGTGGGATGCTAATATCCAAAACTACAATGAAGATTTGAAAAGCTGAAGAAATTGACGACTGAATTCGTTCAGAAGGTCTGGATCCTTCTTTAGGTGGCTGTATTTTCTGCTCTTTTTCTTTGTGAATTTCTAAAATGAGCATATTTGTTAAAAAAACAAACAAACAGAAAATGTATAAGTTTAAAGATCAAATGTGAAAACTAAATGGTTTAGAATAATTAAATTTGGCATTACTGTTTACAATGAGGAAAAGTATAAAAC